CCCCCCCTCCTGCCCCGCCCCGCTCCCCAACAGTTGGTTCTCCTCCGGCCAGCCCCACTCTCTCCGCCTCCGCCCCCAGCCAGCCCTCCTCCCCCGACCTCCTCCCAGCCAACCCCACTCCCCGCCATCCTTTGTCTTCTGCCATCCGTCTCCAGCCTCTGACAAACAGAGGCCAGGGACACCATTGCTATACCCTGGCTAATTGCCTTTTATGGACCTAACCTTCATGAAATTAGCTTCTCTTTAAACTCTGTTATAGTCCTAGCCTTCACAGCCTCCTCTGGCAAAGAGTTCCACAGGTTGACAACGCGCTGTGTGAAGAAGAACTTTCTTTTATTAGTTTTAAACCTGCTACCCATTAATTTCATTTGGTGTCTTCTAGTTCTTCTATTATGGGAACTAATAAATAACTTTTCTTTATTCACCCTTTCCACACCACTCATGATTTTATATGCCTCTATCATATCCTCCCTTAGTCTCAAAAGTCCCAGTCGCTTTAACCTCTCTTCATATGGGACCCATTCCAAACCCCTAATCATTTTAGTTGCCCTTTTCTGAACCCTTTCCAATGCCAGTATATCTTTTTTGAGATGAGGCGACCACATCTGTACACAGTATTCAAGATGTGAGCGTACCATAGTTTTATACAAAGGCAAAAAGATATTCTCTGTCTTATTCTCTATCCTTTTTTTAATGATTCTGTCATTTAAATATAGAAGGTATCCGAGGCACACAGGCTGTGGGGTGTGCTATGGGGTGGGAGACCTTGCCAGGGCTTGAGCTCCGCCCATCTCTCCCAACTCTGTGGCCATGGTCTTCTCCTGCCAACCTCAGTGTGAGCCTTGCCTAGACAACACCCCTCCCCATTGAGGATGACTCACCCACTCCCAGCCTGTGGATTCAGGATAGCTTAATTTTTACAAGGGCTGAGGCCCAGAACCTCTAGGCATGGCAGTTCATGGCCCCCAGCACCACGGGTTTGTCACATTGGTTATGAAATTTAAAAAAAAATTGAGCTCTGGCACCTTTTTTGTTATAAATTAAGCCCTGCCAACTTGTGATTTTATCGTGTGTCTTGAAGTATTTCCTGCTGTTCTGAAAGCAAAGACCCTGCTGCTGAGGTCATACAATGACACGAGTATCTCAGCGTTCCTTCTAAAGGAAGAGGAAGCTACTAGGCATCATAATTTTAGGGAAAAGCCCTACAACAAGCAAGTGAATGACACAACATGCAATGTAAACACATCTAAGGATTTTTAAGTCATTCATGATTTTTTGGGCCTGACTCTCAATTTTTGAATCATGGTATTGGCACTATAGCAACACTACCAATTAAGCTACTCTACTGTGACAGTCAGAACAATCCATTGGGTGCTTAGCACCCATTTTCTACTGCCTGGTTCCTTAGGGTGTGTCTAGACTACAGGGTTTTGTCAACAAACGTGGACAGTAAGTCGACAGAATGCGGCAGTTTTGTCGACAGCGGTAAACCTCATTCTATGAGGAATAACAGAGTTATGTCAAAAAAAGGTGCTATTGCATCTACACTATGCTTTTTCAAAAGAGAGCGTCTAGACTCTCTGTCAAAAAAGCAGCTTGCTTTGTTGACAGAACTGGCTGTAATCTAGATGCTTTTTTTCGACAGACAAAAGCCTGTGGTCTAGACATACCCTTCCTGCTCCAATACATGTGCACAGGGGAAGAAGAAAGAGAGGGCTATTTAAACCAACTCTATGCAAGGAGATTACAGCAGGGGTTCCCAAACTTTTTGACACGGGGACCAGTAAATCTATTCACAAACTTTTGGAGGACTGGTAACATTCATTTGTATACTTGCATATTCATTAATCAAATGATGAATATTCAAATAAGTTGTTTCTGGTCCTCCCAAAGCCCCCAGTGCCAGCTTTAGCAAAGCTTTTGATATAGTCACCCACAATATTCTTCCCAGCAAGTTAAGGAATATGGATTGGATAAATGGGCAGTAAGACAGACAGAAAGCTGGTTAGACCAGGGTTTCCCAAACTTTTTACTTCAGTTGGAACCCTTTTTTTCTGTACTGTTTTTTGCAGCCCAAAAATATAAACACATAAAAAACAAACTGAGAAAATACCAGACTTTTCTCAGTAGGTAAGTCATATTATTACTAGCTGTATCAGTTTGTAGTTTCGAACTGCTTGGCTGGTAAATGTGCTCAGACTGCATGAGCGTGTTTACCAGCCAGACAGTTCACAACTACTCAAGAGGGCAGGGGGGATGGGGGGCACAATAGAATCCCTGGGCCAGACTCATTCGTGCTTTGCGGGGTGGGCAGGCAGCGCCCCGAGATCCGCATATGGCCGGGTCAGTTCGCTCCCCCCGCTGTGCCTCCGGCCAGCCCCACTTCCCCCAAACTCCCTTCCACACCCCGC